TAATTTTCTTGGGAGCTTGGAAGTAATAAAAATATGTTATTCTGCTTTCACAATTAAATACATTGGAGATGATACTCAGCTTTCATGCATATACATGTTTGTGGACATGATTACTAGATATGGTGATGTGTGTTTTGAGTTGTAGTTTTGTTGAAGTTATAATTTGGAATACAATTTGATTTAAGAAATTGTAGGATATTATATGGCTTAATGCCATGAAAGTTTTTTCATGTTAGTTGTTTGGAAGTATTTAAAATGTATTTGGGTGAAGTTGCTACAATTAGTTAGCATGTATGTATTGTTGGTAATTTTATTATAAATATGTATTGCTGGTAATTTTTTTTTATATAAAAATGTATTGCTGGTATTTTTACTATTTGCCCATAGCTCAGGCCCTAACAGGTGCTACCACTTTGGGTCAGGGTGGAGCTGGGAACAACAGCAATAAGAGGTGATTTCATACTCCTCAAAATCTCCCAATCAGAGGTTTAGCTGCTGGATGTAGTTTATCATCAAAATCAGGACTGTATAATTAATGCAACATACTTAATGTCCAAATTAGGGGAACCAAACATTTCTATTGTTGGAAAATAACTACTAATAACTGGAAAAATATTTTCAGAACCATCTCGATAAGACATTTTTTTAATCAAATCCACTACACTGAAAACAATCAGAGAGTTATGAAAAGTGCATATTTTCATGCATTTTGAAACCAAATATAGGACACGAGCTGAATTTGAAAACTAAGGTCTTTTAAAATGATCCAATTGTAAATTAAGGATTTTGCAAAAGAAATTTTGAATGTATGCAAAGTTTCTACCATCCAATTAATATTGCTTCACTTGACAATTTTATACATTTTTTTTTAAGAGTTCACTTCAAATGCATTGGATATAAAAATAATGAAATAATTTGTCATAAACTTAATTTAAAGGAATGCTGAATGATGTTAAAACAAGCTTTGATTAAAAAAGAAATTGCACCCAGCACAGTCAACATTTGCATTTGTTTGACTCATTTTAAGTTAATGGAGGGTATAACTAATGACCTGTCATCTTCATTAATAGTCACAATATTTTAAAGAGTACTTAATCTAGTAGAGTATAGTTTCTTTAAGATTTTTAATGTTTATATACTGGCCTTGGGGATATTATAATAACAGATTGGTTATGTGGGGAAAACTACCTAATTGCTTATATTTTCATCATCAAGTAAGTAATGATTAATGATCTTGATAAAGCCAACATCAAACTGCTATATTTTTCAAATTAAATTAGTTTGGTTCAGCTTACATAATTAATGCCCACATCTTTATTACAATTAATATAGTTATTTACTGAGTACACTAATATAAGGAGGTAATGGAATGACAAAATAGAAAAAAAATTTGACACCAATATATATATATATATATATATATATATGATTAATACAAATAAAATTCATCACATTCAGCTGATTGATGTTATATTCAGCATCATGAGTTTTGTAGGCAAACTTTTTCATAATTGTTCATTTATATTTTAAAACAGTGTGTATAAAGCTTGTCAGCCTGTCATTTAAGAAATCTTAATAAAGAAAATGTGTCCTCTGGCAGTGATTGAACCTACAAAAGTAGATTCGATTCCTGCCAGAGAACACATCATCATTAAGATTTAAATGCGCAATAGATTGACAATTTCTAATAATACCAAATGTTCAATAATTAAATTTATTTATAAATTATAAATTAACTGCATTACATTTGTACAGGCTTATTTTCTTCTGAGCTTTATGCTAGCTATTATATTTTAGGCACAAAAATTGTCTTAAAGAATTTCCTTACCAAAGTGTTTTAATGACTTCTCACAAAACCTTTTGAAAAGCTTTGGTGTAAAGTTGACCAGCTACTGCCAGAGTGAGTATATGTAATATAGTATGCTGACAACTAATTTATTAGTCAGATTCTTGTCTTTTTAATCAAATAACATGTTTAATTGGAAACAAAAAAAAAATGGTGGATATAATACCAGTTCTGCTTAATCTAAAAAGATATTTTTTTTTTCATCTGCACCTTAAAGAAAGAATTAATAATCGTTTAAATTTTAATCTCAAATTTCCTTCCTACATTTTGTCTTTCAAAGAGAAATTTATAAATAAAATGATTCTCTTATAAACAAGTTTGTAATACACCAAGAACAAAGTCACTGCAAGATAAAGAGAGGATATTTGCTATTGTAAAGTCTATCAGGTTGAATAATAAAATGTCTTGTGACTTATTTATGAAGAGAAAAAAATGAGTCAACAGAAAAAGATATTTTGTACCCAGCTGTTTAAATTCAACAAAGAAAATAAGCTTTTCTTTTTCTGATGGAAAAAATGATTATCTTAGAAACTCATCTGCATGTTAACACACATGATAAAACAGACAATAAGTCATAGGTGTTCATCGATTTAGTGTTTACTTACACAGGTTTGTACCTATGTGTGTCAGTGAGTGACAAAATGGAAAAACTATATTGGTGTGTTTAGTTCTAAGAAGAAATTTCTTCAGACTAATAAGAGTTTTATTGATGGAGTCAGTCTTATATATGTAAGAGAAGAATGGAAATAGGCAAAACACAATAAATGCCAGTTACAGTTTACATCGAAAACATTAAATATAGAGATGCCCAGCTTTAAATTTAAAATTTTAACATCCAGTGGATCTAGATGTTTAACTTAGTCTATCTCATTCACCTTATTGCTATTGGTTTAATTATCCCACATTATATCAGCAGTAGTTTTATGAGGAAAGATGTTGTATGATCCTATATAGATTTATAATAAATGATTTTGAAATTAGTGACTGTCAATACATTTTTACCTTAATAAATTACTTTTTTAATTAAAATGGCATTCTTAAAGTTGAAATGATGGTCAGACATGTTTAACAACTAATACACTCAGTGTATTGTTTTGTAAAAGATCCGTCTTATGTTCATCTATTTTATTTAGATTTCTAGGTGTGTCATCTATGTATTTCTTGGGACATTTTTTTTGCAGTATTCTAAAAGTTATTGCTTTAGGTTTAGTGTTGTTTGAAGTAGTTCTAACAAGTTTAGATAAATTCTTTTCAACTGTCGTTAGTATTGAGTTGGGAGACAGTATTGTGCCTAGTTGTGTTATATATGAAATAATTAAGGTATTAGAGGTATTTAAAAGTATTTTCAATGTATTTCCTTTCATTGTACTGGAGGCTACAAATTCTAAATGCTCTTAAGTAGTAACCTATCATTATTCTAAATTTTATTTTTTGGTTGTAATGTGAATAGAAGTTTGAGAAACAAGTGAACTTTTAGTAAACATTTATTTCCAACCATCAGAATATATGTACTTACTAACGACAAAAGTCTACCAAATCAATTAAAAGTTGTTGTATGGAGTCAGCTAAATATACATATTGTCAACTATATACTATGAAAAAATATTTCATTTAAATTTTCAATGATTAAGCAAAATATATCTTCTATTCATGAATACCATGAAAAGCAGTAATATAAAAGATAGCAAGAAGTATGCTACAATTTTTAATGAAAGTGATATCACTTAGGTAAATAACAAAAAATTCAATGCAGAAGCTTAAACAATTATTTTTTCTTATTCAAATATTCTATTCTCTCAATAGAGATCAAGCTTTACTGATCACAGCTGTTTCAAATATTTATCTATAGATTTTATTATGAGAAAAGAAAATTTTTTTATATATGATCAATTCAACTGAATCAGAATTTTTCCCCAACCCACAAGCAATCAAACTAGCTTGAGGTAAATTACCATAAATGGACCTTCTAAACCAGTGCAAAAAGTCAACATTCTAAAAATAAATCAACCAACTGTTTTAATATCTGGTTGCAGTTGATGAAATTTAATCTAATGTCACTAAAAAGGCATGAATCAATTCCTCCTTGCACAAAACTGTTTTTTTTTTTAATTTAACATATTTTAAAAACTTTCCTTAAGTTAATTAAGCAATAACAAGTTTGAGTATATTCCTTTTGTGCTGACAAAGTATATTTGCATAATGTCTTGTCTTGTGAATGTATAGCAAAAGTGGAAGATGCTTTGTGTATTTCTATGGCCATTAAAAGCTGAACTATAATCATAATATAAGGATTAATTCTATTATTCCATAATCAGTAACGCATATTGGATATTGTTAGTATCTTTCAAAATTCAAGTATTGAAAATGTATATTTTTCTCATCTAATATGCTCATGTTCGGAGTCTAAATTATATATGGATTGAGACAGATATGATTAATTTCTTTTTTTTTCCTAGCTTTCTGTTTACATTAGTTAATTGGGCATAATACATTCTTGAATAAAGAGAGGAATGTAAGAATAAAGAATTTATTTCCAAATATTAAAGAAAGATTTCATTTATAAGTAGATTGCCAAGTTTCCAGTCCAATGCATCAATTAAAGCAGCTACTCACAAATCTTAATTGATTTTCTCATGCTTATTTAAGCAGTCTGGATTGATATTAAGTAGAGATTATAAAGAAAAACCATAAATTCCTAAGGAGGAGAAAATGCAAAACTAAATGGATATTGATGTAAATGTGTGCATGAAAATTCAGAAAAACATTCTTTCCTTCCATTTAAGAATTTAAAAGACATTAAGGAAAACATAACAGTTTAAGAAATTGTTACAAACAAGGGGAAAACAGTTAAATAAAACTATGGAAAGTACACAAGGACAAGAGTAAAATGAATGATGGAAAAATTGGAATATTCTAATTATAAACACATCAATTTTCAATTGATATGCAACAAATTATTGCACTTCAAGACATTCCACAGTAAAAAAAAAAATCCTCAACTCTTATTTCAATAGGACACTTAATATTAAGTCATAGTATACATAATAGTAATAAATAAAAATGTAAGAAAAATTTTATATATAGCTCAGTGGAGGAGAACTCATGTAAGCACAAGGGCTGTGTTTTTAATATACAAGAGCACATGTATACTTACCTAATGTAGATAATAATGGTTGTTTGATGCTTGGCACTGGTGATGATGTACTGCTACCGTTGCCACTGCCCAGTTCAGAAATACCCAATCGAGGTTTGTTTGAGGTCACATGATTTCCCAAAGGATAAGACCCAGATAAAGTGGGTGATGTTTTAGATACTGAAATAAAATAAAAAAAATTATATACAAATTGCATAAAGAAAAATTAGAAAAACAAAAAAGGGATGAAGTCATAAGGGACACAGACAACAGGTGAGAATAACAAAATATACACATGTTATAGCATAAATTTTTGATCAATCAAGGACTGGATCTTTTATATAAATAAATGGCATTGGAATAATTTAAATTCACTGTCATAGATAAATTATTTCATTCATTTTAAATAAATTACTACTTTTGATAAATGTTAGCAAATATTCATGACCATAAAAAATGGCTTGTGTGTGTGTGTTTATATAATTTGAGGTTAAAAACTAACGTTAAAGTTAGTTTTAATTCTTAGATTTTATTTCCACTAGCATACTACACCCATCTGACCATTACATACAGTATCCGCAATATGATAAATAATCTGGAATTAATGTAATTTTTATATGGTCCTTGTTAAAGTCTTTTCAAAGTAGACTTTTAAATTTTTTTTATCAATACTAAAAAGATTTATTTTTGCAATTAGTATTTCAGCAATAGTTTTGATAAGAGTAACAAAAGTAACAAAAAAGGGAAGTGATAAGGCATCTACTCAAAAATCAAAATTACTTTTTGTCTGAATTTCTGGGATGAAGAATTATTTGTATTCGGACTATTGTCCTCATTTCTGTTGTTGTTGTTATTATGTTTCGGCTGTTGTGCCCTTTGGCCTTCCTCAGGTTTATATCAATCTGGATAACCTATAAGGAATCCTGAATTGAACCTTTTATTTACATCTATCTAGAGAGGTAGACTTCTCAATTCATTGCCCATGTCTAAGGATATTGTCTAGTTCTTATTTAGTACTGTTCAGTTTTGCTCATTTGTTTCCACAGAATACAAGTACACACAGCCCAACACAGTGATTGAAATCACAACCAATGTCACCAAATTCACAAACAAATGCTTTTATCCACTAAGACTGATCAAAGTGGAGGACAATAGTCCAAATATAAATAGTGTAAATAATCAAAATTCATATTCAAAAGAAAAATTTGTGAGTCAATTGAAACATTTGTCTATGAAGTAATAAAAGAAAAAATAGAAAAAGATGAAATGTATCAGTAGTGTGAAAGTGGAAAAAGAACAGTATATTTCTTTTTAATAAAATCTAAGTGTAGTGGATACAGCCTGTTCACCTGGCGGAAGTGATATAAGATCACCTGTGCTGTGCATGAGAAACTCAATCTGTGTGGACTGGGTGATGTCTCATGTGACCGAAAGTCTGTGTAGTGAGCTTGCTAGACACCATAAAAGCTAGCATTTGTTAACACCATGCCACTAGTGTGAAAGGAGCAAATTGCAAAAACTCAGCTACAAGCTATTTCAGTCGTATTGCAAACTATGTCCAAGGGAAAGTTTGATGCAAACTTATATCAGAGTTTGACGGTTCAGTGTCCAGGCCAAACGCAGTTGAATGGATAGACAAGGCAAAACTTGTTTGCCAGATGTGCGAAGTGGCCAGAACATGTGATTCCTCTAAGACTGTCTGGTGGGGCATTTGCCATCTATCAGCAATTAAGTGAAAACAAAAAGCAGGAATCAAACACAAAATTAGCTCTTTACAGCATTCACAACGGACAGGTTTGTCGTGTATGAACAATTCTCTGAGCAGCACCTTCAACCGGGCAAATCCATTGATGTGTACTTGGCAGAATTATGCAAACTGGCTGTATTGTTCAGGGGGTATCAGTAACCATGGCTTGGCATGAACTTTTGTCAAAGGGTTGCCAAATCACATGAAATGGTTCCTTTGTGCTTCTTAGATGGAGGTATTGACCATTGAAATGATGCTTGTTTGTGCTCAAGTGATAATGAAAGACAAGAACCCAGACAAAGACTTGGCAGTAGCAGCATCATGAAAAATACACCAAAGGACTATTCAACCTTCTGCTAGAGGTTCTAATGACATAAATTGTCATTGACAAATGGCCTTAATCACTTCATCAAAGATTGTAAAAGTCTGCTCAGCAGAGGCAGAAAGCCTCGTATTTGGTGTTATACTTGCAATAAAATAGGCTAAATATCCCAAAATTGTCCAGGAAAAAGGTCCCGGAGATGGCAACTTGGCACTGGTTTTCTCCCCAGTCAAGATGTAAACTCAGTGCTGCCAACAATAGAAATTAATGTTAATGTTTGTGGAAGGAAGTGTATCACGCTAGTGGAATCTGGGTGCTCCTGCTGAATGTGGAAGAAACAAAGCATTGACATCATAACCAGTGGTAACAGAATGCGGACGTGGGTCAGTCAGCCTTCATGTGGAAAATGTAAGGGCTGTTGTGATGGATGCCCTGGTAGTGCTAGAGGACCCCCTTGGATTTCATTCTAATTTGAATAGACACAATCAAGGCCCTTGGTGGAATGTCTATTTCTAAATCAGGGGAGATTCAAATTTGATCAGCAACAGAATGAATGGACTGTATCCTGGAAATGGGCAGAGGGCAAAAAAGCCAGGCAAGTTACAAACAATGGATTGAGAGGGGTTGGCTTATTCTATATGAAAAGCAGAAACTTGAACCCCCAAGAGAGCTACTTCTGCTGATGGCTGCTGTGCAGCAAAACAAGTCAAAAGTGTGTCAAATGATGGACAACAGGGAACTCAATGTCCATGTTGATGCGTACACAGCAGACGCTGATGTTTGCACTAGTAAACTAAGAGAATGGAGACACAAATGATTGAATGTCACATTGCTAGATCTCAGATCAGCTTATCTACAGGTGTACATTGATGAATGACTTTGGCCATACAAAACTTATCTTTCAAGGTAGAGGGTAATGCCTGATCAGATCGGGATTTGGTCTGAATGTTGTCACCCAAATAATGAGATCTGTCATTGATGCCATGATATCTCAGGATAAAAAAAATCATAGAGGCAAACTTGTCATACATTGATGACCTGTACATAAAGGAGGATATTATGTCCATAACTAGTGTTGCTGAACACCTGTCGCACTTTGGACTGACAAGCAAAATTCCAGAATGACCAAAAAATGGAGCTTGGTTACTTGGCTTAACTGTCTGGAGGTGGGGAGAGATAACATTCTGTTTTGGAAGCATGGGAATGTGCTTCCTGAAGTCACTGAGGCGGTCATCAGGAAGAAGGTATTCTCTTTTTGTGACAATCTTGTTGGACACCTCCCAGTCTGTGGATGACTGTGAGTAGTGGCTGGTGTCATCAAGTGAAAAGTAAGCACAGTGACGAAAGGTTGGGACGATCAAACCGATGATACCCTACTAAAAAGGATGCTGACAGAGACTATTACCAGGGTGAGGCAAAGCAACCCATGTAGTGGTGAGTGGTGTGTTGATAGCAAAGTGTAGGTTGACAAATTCTTTGGCTACTGGAGTCTTGAATCACATGGGTCTGTTATCGAACACGCGTGTTGGTTGCAGCCAGATTCAGGCACACACAGGGAACCTAAGACTGTACATTTAAAAACTGATTCATGGGTGTATGTCAATGGCTCACAAACATGCTAACAGGTAAAGCCAGGTGTGAGTACTAAGGTTGCAAGTGAGATGCTGATCAGGAGGTGGCTGAAAACCTGCTTGGAGTTGATTAAGGAGTGCGTATTAATGGTGGACATTACACTGATCAAATCAAAACAAAGCAGACAAAAACACCAGAGTCCTGCAGAGGTGCCTGGAAGCAATGAAGAATGAGGTAGAACCTAGGCTACAGGTATGTGCTAAGACTGGTAGTGGTATGGAACAGAGTCAGATAAGGCAAATACACTCACACAGTGGACATCTCGGTGCAAAATGAATTTCAGCAAAATCACTGTATGCCGAAAGAGGCTATGAGATCTACTGTTAAATCCTGCCTGGAATGTCTGTCAATTGATCTGGCCCCGATCCAATGACAAAAAGGAAAAGTAGAGACAGCAGGTATATAGCAGAGACTAGGGATGGATATCACCCACTATAGGGGCATTCACTACCTGACCCTAATAGACTGTGGGCCTATCTGTTTTTCCATTTGGCAACCTCTGCAACAAAAAGATTCAGCTATTGTGATCCAGTGTCTTAACTAACTTTTTTGAGAGAGGTCCTGACTGATAACGATACAGCATTTAACAACAGGAGCTTTAGAACATTTGCTGAGAGTTGGGATGTCTGTCTGTGCTTCCAATGTGCACATGTGCCATCTGGAAATGGCGTTGTTGAAGGATCACACAGATCCATAAAGCAGATTGCTGCCAGACATCAATGCTCTATCCAGAAAGCAGTTTACTGATACAACATTACACCAAAGGCTGGTATCAGTGGTGCAACTGCTCCAGGTAATCCTTTGTACCAGTACGAAATCCAAGAGAAAAGTGTTGACAAGATCTCTCCACTGAAGCCTGAGTAGGGTGTGTACAAGAAAGGGAACATCATACTAGTAAGGAGTTCGCTGAACAGATGCGTGAGTAAATGGAGGACGGGAACAGTGACAGGATTTGTGACTCCCCAAGCAGTTTACGTGGATGGAATGTTGTGCCATGTGAAAGACCTCTGCCCTTTTCCTCATATGGTGAGCAATTATGTGGAAGACAAAACCGCTATATCAAGTGATGATAAGATGTACATATCTGTAACGATGACTATTCAACTGATGTTGAATCTAAACAATCAAGCAATGGTTATGACAATGAAGGTCAGCAGATTGTGACAAGGCTGCCTCAAGAAGCAAGGGAGCCTGCCAAACCGCTTCTTTGAAGAAGCACCAGATGTAAAAGGCTGATAGTGAGATCAGGGAGAAGTGTAGTGGACACAACCTGTCCTCCCTGGCATAAATGACAAGATTGCCTATGCTAGGGCAGTTACTTGAAGAGATGTTGCCAGTGCAACAGGAGTGAATTGTGATAACTCAGTTGTACTAAAATAGTCAAAGCCGAGATACAGTGAGCCAATTTCATATAACAAAGTAGAATTAAATCCTAACACATGTTGGAAGAAAGATTTAATTTGTGTAATTTTATCCATA